AGGGGGTACAGGAGCAGGATGGCCGCCCGGGGTACCTCCCCAGCACGCTCACTCTCACGCTCCAGGCACCAGCAGCCTGAAGCTTTCTCAGCTGGGCACGGCCGCTTTGATTTCATGGACCCCGATGGATTTTTCTGCCGCGAAATGCTCTTTGAACCTCTAAGCTTTTAGCATCCACATCCTGAGGCAAGCAGATCCCCAGCCCCTGTCTCCTTTTGTTTGCTTTGAGCCTTCCTGCTAATAAAAGAACTACGGAGGCTGAAGCCAAATTACAGAGCGCCATTGAATAACTCCTCTCCATTTACCTTTTTTAGGCCATTTGACGGTCAAATTCTCCATCTTACCTTCCAACATGACAACTGTTTCTGAGCTGGAGAGACCCAGCCGACTTAGGGCCACTGCAATTTGTTCCTGTCCTATACGCACACATGCAGATTCCCTCCCAAAGGGCAAAACCTGTGGTATAATCCAGAATTTAACCATTCCTGGAGCTGTTTTTCAAGAGAACGCAGGCAGTTTAAATTCCCCAGCTGAAACGTACCCAGGGTACTCACTCCTCCTGCGCCGGGCTCCTTGTGGGTCCCCCTGCCCCGCTCAGCCGGAGAACATCCCCTCGTCCCCAGCACCGAGCCCCTGCCGACGGTCAAATTCTCCATCTTACCTTCCAACATGACAACTGTTTCTGAGCTGGAGAGACCCAGCCGACTTAGGGCCACTGCAATTTGTTCCTGTCCTATACGCACACATGCAGATTCCCTCCCAAAGGGCAAAACCTGTGATATAATCCAGAATTTAACCATTCCTGGAGCTGTTTTTCAAGAGAACGCAGGCAGTTTAAATTCCCCAGCTGAAACGTACCCAGGGTACTCACTCCTCCTGCGCCGGGCTCCTTGTGGGTCCCCCTGCCCCGCTCAGCCGGAGAACATCCCTCGTCCCCAGCACCGAGCCCCTGCCGCAGCACCCCAGCTTACTGTCAGCTCCAAACTGGAAGCGTCATCTCCAAAATGACTGTCGCGCTGGCTCCTGCCAGACTCTTAATTACGAGGAGGGCTGACACAGTTTCTCAGCAAACGGCATTCGCGTACTGTGGGGAAAAACAGAATGAGGGCAAGAGGAAAAATGGGCTAATAAGAGAAAATCAACTGGAGGGAAAAACACGTTGCACTGTGCAAACCTTACCATAACAATGCTGGAGCCCAAAATACCGAAAAAAAATAAAATAGGTTAGTACACAGGGGAAGCAGGCAGCGCTCCACAAATGCAGAGAGGAGCTTATATGCGGTGCAGCGTCTCGGCATCCTCATCTGCCAGGCCTCTCCCCGCAGCTTGGGTTAGGGTGAAGGGGATGGGTTCAGTTTCCAGCATGCAGATCAATGTGACCGAGAGCCTGAATGATGCCATCCGAGGAGCCCACACCCGCCCTGCGTGATTTACACTGCCTTCATAAAAGCCTGCAGCATGAATAAAGCACGGAACTTAATGCCTAGCCATCCTCTCCTCGCTGCCGAGCCTGGCAGTTTTAAGCTATTATTTTTATTCCAACCACAACCTAGTGGTCAGCCCGGAGAGGAAAAGGACCCCCTGCTCCTTCCTGAGCTCCGAGCGCCTCAACTTCCATCTCCAAGCAGACTTTGAGAAAAGCAAGCCCGAGACTCAGAGGCAAAGCCAAGGAGCCTGCAAGCTGAGCCCCAGCTCGCGGCACTCGCTGCTCAGGTGCAGCAGGACGCTTGCCCCGTAGCACTAAAGCAGCAAAAATCTGTTTACCCTTTCTGCTTTTCTCTGCAAGAGGGAAGGAGCATCGCTTGCCCAGCTTCTGGCAGCTGCAGCACTGAACGTGAAGCCGAAGGGAAGCACTGGGAGAAGGGCGTGCGAAAGCGGCCCCGAACCCTGCAGCCAGGAGCACTCCCCCCTACACACCACACTGGCCAAACCTGCCTTGAAAAGCTTTAGGGCTCCCCCCAGGCTGATGGCAGGGACGCCTTGATGACGATGAAGGGAACAATTCCAGAGTTTCCATCTCCTTCCCTGCGACCTCCCTGCGGGGAACTGGGAGGTGGCTGGGAAGCTGAAACACCAGCAGCACCTCACCATGCCAAGATGGGGAGGCATTAAAGACTACCACGCATCCAAATGCTGCTTGAAAGTCACCTAAAAATACATCTTAACCAGCAGCCTGGAAGTACGGGGACCAGCTTTCAGCACCCAGACCAAAATAATGCGACAGAAGATGTGGATGTCTTTCCTCTCTCACCACCCAGCCCTACTTCTGATACCAGATAAAATATTCCCTTTCAAATTCCTTACTGCAAAGGCAAAGCAGCGCTGGCTGAAAAAAGTGGCAGTCAGGCAAAACTAAAAGCACCTCCGCAAGGAGAAGCCCCTCAAGGAATTTACTTTCTCCTGCTGATCCTCCCCATCAGCAGCCCACGCCGGTCCCCTGGCTCTGAAAGCCCTTTTCAACACTAGATAAGAAGGGGCCCCTCCAGAAAAGCTGGCAAAACATCCACACGCCGAAACATCAAGGTATTTCGCAGCCCCAGGGGAAGATGGGAAAACAGCAATTTGAACGTCACGAAGAGTGTTCTGATAACTTAAACCACAAGGAATGAGCCAAATCCACTCATGATTGCCTGACCTCTCCGGGCAGCTCCCACAGCGGCTGCCGAGGCTCCTGCAAGCTCGTCCAGCCTCGCCTCTGCTCTCCAGGCTGGCTCCCCACAGGGTGCCCAGCCGGTCCCAGGAGCCTTTTCTCTTTTTTGGGATGCCGGAACAAGCTCTGATGTGCCAGTGCCAAAAGTGGCACCCCCTGGGACAGCGGGGTGTTTGCCACTGGGGAACTTTGGGCAAGCAGCGGTTTCTCAAGAGCTCGTAAGCCCGAGGAGCAAGTCCCCAGAAGAATTAGGAGGGTCACCTCCCACAGCACCCTTTCTGATTTGCTCCTTCCAGTGGAAAAGTCAGCCACGTGAACGCCAAAAGGCAGTGGAAGCTAAAACCCAAACCCAAACCCACAACAACAAAACACAAACCCAAGCCACGCTGTGCTATACGTACAGTTCTCCGGGGAAAGAAGCAAACCAAACGTACAAGACCAGTGCTAATACCACAGCACTAGAACTATTCCTGCGAGGGATGGGGTCCGCAGCAGAATCCTCTCTGTAACCCAACTACCTAGGAGGGCTTGCCTGAATCTCCGAGAGGCAGCGCAGCCTGGCAGCCCACGTGCCTGGTGCCCGCTGCAGGGCCAGGCCAGCCCTGAAGACCCAGAGCCGACAGCCAGAGGATGCTGAGCACGGCCACGTCTGACGGAGCCAGGCCCGGCTTGTCTGCGCTCGGAGAATTACCACTGCAGCATCCATCCCTCATTACTAAAAAGGTCTTTTTCCGCACTGAAAGGCTACCTCCGAAATCCTGTGACGGCACAATCTCACCAGCTGCTCCACCGGTGCTGACGGCGCACCTCACCTCTTTGCCCCACGCATCTGCTTTTCCCGAAGATGCTCTCAGCTCAGTTCTCCGCGCTGGGGAGTTCAGAGCGCTCCTGCGGCCACCGCCATCAGAGCGTGCGTGTCCTACTGACCTTCAGCCAGAGCTACCTGCAGGCCATTAATCACTCCCGAAATCCCCATCCATTACCAAGCTCCACAACAGGAGCAGGGAGACTATCAGATGTACAAATAGTGTCGCTGGCAGGTTTCTTCACCTTAAAGCCAGAAGGCTTGGGTTTATTTTTTTTTAAGCCATACAGAGGCTTTTTGGGAGAAAAAAAAAAAAAAAAAAAAAAGGGAAAGAGCCACAGATTTATATTTTATAGTTAGCCTTTAATTTTTTGCCTGCGATTACTGCAATAAAGTGCACCTAATTTCACATGAAATGAGATAACACGGCTCTTAATACAGCCCACATAATATCAACAGATAAATCTCAGTGCAAAACGCTTATCTGAAGACAACCGAAGCAGTTAAGACATTTACTGTGCAAACAGCCTTTCCCAACGCATGTAACTTCTGGCTGGGGGCCAGTAAATGAGTCAGCACAACACAGGGGCAGCAGGTTTGCCGGTTTGTTTCCAGGAGTCCTGAAGCAGCGCTCGGCTCAGCAGCCCCTTCGGGATGCTTGGGCAGCGTCTCTGTACGGATCCTGATGAGCTCCAATTCAGCCCACGTCGAGACTTAAGCAACTGGGGAATTACTACTCGGCTACAAAACAGATGGAAGAAAAGTCCAGACAGCACGGGAGGAGAAGAGAAAGGGAAAATGCCAGAACGTATACGCAGGCATTAAGCATGAAAACACAGGACTGGCTGAGCCAAGAATTACTTCAAGACCACCTCCATTTATAGTAAGCTGACCAGCTGCGAGCCCGAGAACTACAGCCCGTGCCCTAAGACAGGAATAGGACCCGCAGCCGTTTGTGAAACAGAGCTGAAGTGTGCCCCGCTTGTGTAGGGACATTTAATTAGAAAAGCATGTCTTGTTTTTTCTCATTGCTCTATTAAATAAAAGTAAATATCAAAGTGGTTATTTCATCTGGGGAAAAAAAAAAAAAAAGCCAGCAGTTTCAGTGTGCTTTGAACTGCAGTACAAAAGCTGTTCATCGAAACCCCTCCCCTTTCCTTCTCCAAAATATACAGGACAGCAACTTCAGCTGAACATGGTAAGAAAATATATACACATTACATACAGTAAACATATTCTGCAATTGTTTTAAACTTTATACAGCATTAGTGAGGAAAAATATAAACATTAGTAAAATTACATACAAAATATTCAACAGAGTAAGCAACTGCTACCAGAGGGAAGGCTGAAACACTACCAAAGACAGGCGCTGCCATACCTACGTAACACCACGATTTTTTTTTTAGCCTAAAGCAATTCTATTACAAAACAAAGATACCCTTTGAGGTAGATTCTTCCAATTCTTAAATAACATGTTGAGATTAAAAAACAAAAAAAAAAGGATTTTCTCCTCCCCGCACCCCCCCCACCCCCCCAATGCCACAAGCGTACCTTCTGTTTGAACAAAGATAAGCTGATTATCCTGTGAAGTGCACAGAGATGCTGCAGTCTTAGGCTAACTCTCTAACACTTGAAGTGAAAGACAAAACATTTAATATGAATTTGCAAATGAAATGCCTTCCCTATAAGACATGTCCATTCCATAGCACTTCCGTTATATGTAATACACAAATTTGAAAGGTTTGAGGATTTCTTTTTTTTTTTTTAGCCTTATTTTACATTCTTATCTTGGAAAGTTGTAGGGAATTTGTCATGTAAGATCAGACAGGGTAATGCACAAGAATTAAAAGGAAACAGTATTATAAACCACACGTTTATATTATTAAAAATCCCACTCGTTAGGGGAGTCTCAGTTGGTGCTTCTACACAATACCTCAGCTTTCTCTTCATATATACACATGACCTACAGACAAACCACAGCGTGAGATTCAAACGATGGCATTTGCACAGAAAGCGCAAAAGGAGATCGCATCTTCCTTTGATGATTTCACCAACAGCTCTCGGAGCTCTGCGCGTGCGGCGGGACTCCACACAGAGGAATTCAGACCTCATATGGCTTTCACGGTTTTTTACATGTGTGGCCAAATGCTCATCTCCTCAAATCTCCAGTGGGCTGATATTCTAGGAATAGTATTTTCTCTCCCTTTAGAGAAAGTGCGGAAGCCAGATGACAAACATAGACGTTTGTTTCTTAAAAAGCAGCACAACGATACTACTGGTGTAATAAGCTCTCATTTATAACTTGCTCTTACAGAATTACTTCCGGTGCAGCCACATTCACTGCATAAATAAATTAAGGTCTGAAGATGGGGAAGTTAAGTTAAAATTAACGCATCGCTATAATAACAAATTCTGTTTTATTTGATAAAACACAACCACAGGGCAGAAAAAGCATTCGCTTAACTTGTTTGGGCACAGCCACTCTTAAGCTGTTTCAACCCTCAAGTGAACACTAGAGCAGTCACTTGTTCACACGCAACTGCTGTATTTTGTATTTTTAGAGACGCTGGAGGGTGGTAACAATTCTGCTTTGCAGGTTAACACGTGCAAGCAATTCTGTTATTCAGCCCAGTTCTGAATCACTTCCTCACCCGCTCACATCAGGGGAGGTCTAATACTGTTTCTGAACTCACATTCCGTGTCACGGGGCAGTTTTTTCCCAGTCATCCTAAAACGATGTTTGCAAGGTGTGTGCTGGCAAGAAAACTACACATACGGTTGTCACAATGGAAATGAGAAAACTTCCCTCAGCTTTCAATATGATAAAATATTTCTAGCCAATTCAGACAGGGTTATAGAAATAGCTGGAGGGTTTTTTTTTCAGTTTACCCACTCCAATTTTTCAGAAGTAGTGTATTTGTAGTAAAAGCTATGTTAATCAAATTAGATCCTTGTGTTTCTAGTAATTTCCTGAATCACACTCAAGTTCTAACTCAGGTGACCAATTTCTTCTGTTCCAGCCAAGGTGAAGCTCCATTCATTCTACCTTTTCCTTGGTTTCAGAGTTTTCCCTGAACTAGGCAAGGTTTCATTAATCTGGCTCCCAGAAGTCATGCAGTTTTCCCTAAAGAGTAAAACCAAAAGAGTAAACAAGTCAATGATAGAAGTAAAGAGTAGAGTAGGCAAGTGCTTAGCTTGAGATCACCACAATGTGTTGCAAGTCCCTGGAATTTTATTCTGAAACGCTTGTTAGTTTCCCTATACACGAATCAACTCCAAAGATCTCTGAAAGAGCAGCATCATTATCATCTTCCACCAAGTGCTAAGTAGCTGCTGCAGCCATGTGTTACTGTCCAATTCCCTTCCCCCTCCATAAAAGAAATGTCACACACACACACTACAGATTTTGTCTCTTTTGCACTTTGCTGGGAGCGATTAATAGTCTTTAGAGACAAATGGTTGACGACCCCATTTTTAACCAAAATCGATACTAAGCATATATGTATAACTTAAATTTTATGTAAGTGATACATTACTGGAAAGCTAAGCTTTTCCAAGGCAGGACTTAAACAGTTGGTCTGATCACAGTACAGAAGTAAACCTTACAACCCTAGACTAGAAGAAACAGCTCTGAACTCTGGGTATCAGTAGAAATGATCTATGTATTCCACCAAGGCCAGCTAGGTATCATGAAGGCAAATATTAATGATGGACTAATCATGACCTTATTTACTACTGCACACTTTTACCCTGTAAGGCTTTTCCTAATCACTGCATGAAATTTGACACATTCAAAGGGGAGGAGTTATCCATGGCCATTAAACATGCGTGGATAAAGCTTTGGACTCAAGTAGTCTCGAAGTCGCACGCTGCCAGACCACCGCAGGAAGCGCATCGCTGCATTCCCGCCCCAACGTCCTTTTCAAAACGTCTGCTAGTAACTATAATCAGAGACAGGCCCTGTGACTTGCTTCAGTACTAGCATTTTAATGTATTACCCAAGCCATTTACAAAAGCAGCACTCTTAAGGATAAAGATGAAATCTTGGTTTTATCGAAGCCAGCAAAGTAAGAATTAAAATCTAGTCTAATACATCTAAGTGTATTCCACAGCCATGCCATTTATGAAGAAAAAACCTCTTTAAAAGAATACGCTATTTTCAAATGCTAAAATATGAGTTAAATGCAACATGGGAAGAGATAAAAAGGTTTCATTACGGTACCTGAGTAGGCCGAGTGGTTTGTATCATATCTTGCCATTTGCCATATATTCTAGCAACTAAGTCTTTTACCTGCAAATTCACATTGATTAGTTTAGCAATTTATGTTAAAAAAGCCAAAATCATACCCCGTCTCCCCCCTGGCACCAAACCCGTAAAACCCCAGATAACCCAACACCCAAGGTTTACTGGGAAGGAACAGTTTTACAGCTGGCACAAAGTATCACTGCCTCGAGTCCAATGAGATCCCTGTAATTTGGGACTCTGAATTCAAAATCATGTACTCCACACAAACACATTACAGGCGCATGACTCCCCATGTGTTTGGAATCAGCACACGAGCCTCTGGCCTCCAAACACCCACCTCATCCTTCGGGTGAATTGGGTTCCTCACACAAGTCTGACTGTACCTAGAGAAGGTGCCTGCAACTGCAATCACAAAAGGCAACTACCCAGCACTGCCTGCTTCTGAAATGAATTCCTTATAAATAAAACTGCTTTTTCATAGTCAGACACAAGCAGGTGTTTAACCTAAGCCATTGAGAACTGAGAGTTGCTTCATATGCTGTGTTAAAGCTCAGCACAGCGGCATCCTCTGGAAGTTACTGTACGGTTATGCAAATGAAGTGATGGGGAAAGAGAAGAAGATTTTCCCCCTCTCATTACAAGGGCAATAGCTACAAAAGTGAAAGCAACCCAAGATACAAAAATCCAAGGCAAGAGTAATTAACTTCTTAAAAGAATCCATGCTCTACTAAGCTGGCTGAATAAAAAAAAAGTCTTCTTGAGAGGTAAGGATGCACACAGCTGCAAATACTTGACACAAAGCTGAAGAAGCCAAGGCTTTTCAAAGTTGAGGTCAGTCACTTTATCACTGATCTGATTTGGCTTGCTATTGCAGCATGCAAAGCACAACAGTCACAAAATTAGGACTCAATAGTAAGCCTCACGCCACAAAGCAAATGGAAGGCAATTATCCAAGCTTGATGCTACACCACATACACTGTTGGCTTAAACCCACATATTTAACTAACTCATTAATTGGAAAATGAAGGAGACAGATGCAAGATAGGCTAGTTTGTTAGTCCTCTGTATCCTGCCCTGCATGTAGCCTCTGCTCTTAAAAGTAGAGTCAACTATCAGTGACTGCCAGGAAAAGAAACGGAACAACTCTGTGGGTCTAAGAGTTGAAATGCCCAGCTAAAAGGAAGACAAGTTCACATTTTACAGTTGTTAAACAGAAGTCCTGTTGTTAGCAAAAAGAGTATTCCCAGTGCATTAAAATAGACATATTTATGTACATGCAAAAGCATGATGCAGACAGATGCCAGAAAAAAAAAAAAAATCCATGAGGAAACTCTTAGCATTTCCAGGGCTGGTATGAGGGAACAACACACATCAAGAACACCAAAACCCACCCTAAACCAAACAAAAAACCCCCAGCTTACGTGTCTTACCTTAGTTCGATAAAACAGCCGTGCATCTTCTCTAATATCACATTTTATGTGCTTATCTAAGGCACCACAAAGCTTCAGTAGGTGTTGCTAAATAAAGACAGAAGTGTACAGCTATTTAAAATCCTCCATGTCAAAACAAAAAGCTTTCTTCAAATACTATTTCAATTTAAAAATTATATGCTTCAGTTTGAATTTTTCTCAGAAATGTACAGTAAGGAAGGGGGAAAAGAAAGAAAACAAGATCACAAAATCCTCTATCAGTTGCTGGTATACAACCAGTAAACCAGGTCTAAGAGCTTTAAAAAATAGTTTCAAAGTATAGCAGAGCTATACATAACAAATTTTAAAGTTCCTACTAGCTAATTTGTAAATCCTTTCTGTCCCCAAAGTAGCAGGCGCAGTGCCATTCAGATCAGTTATCAGTGAAAAAAAGTTCTGAAGTTACAACAGAAAAATAACCTCAGGTCATTTTCTTTTGTAGGAATTGGCTGAGCAGGTAAAACGTATCCAAGGTTCATGCACTGATCTTTTATTTCTCTCTAAATTTCTGATTACTTTAATAAAGCACTTTTGCAACTTCATAATCTGTTGATAATGGCTCCCAAGAGCCAAGAGCTCCTTTTGCATTCTGTGAATTTCTTCATAAAATTCCTTTTTTCAATCCCTCAATGAACAGCTGCCAAGAGGCTCTGCTCTGCAGAACAGGTGAGGCGTGCTGAAATTCTACTTAGAAACATTTGCTGGCATCTCAAGACCATGACAATTTACCCCATCTAACCGGAAGAGGATCAGAAATGAAATAGTTGTATTGATTTTATGCAAAGTCTAGCCTGCACAACATTCAGCCACACCCCTCTTGCCACTTCATGGCTAACAAATCAGTGAATAATAGACTCTTTCTATAATAAATAATACATAAATTGTATAATACATTATAATGTATAATACAGAGACATTAAAAAAAAAATAAAAGATCAAGTTCTCCATAAATCTTCAGGAAGGCTGTTGTAAAAAACAAACCTCAAAAGATCATCACAATGGAATTTTCTTTACCAAAGATGATTTTGTTTCAGATTGCACTGTGATTATCTTTTTTGCATCGAGTAGGAAACAAAGACACTTAAGCCCTGAAATGTAACCAAACATTACTGTTTTACCCTCTCAAAGAGTTTGTACAACAGATTTCTTAAAAGCCAAGAATGATTCCATGGGGCAGAAGACGTAGACAAACACCTTGCAGCAAGCAACTCACAGCAAATGATCACAGAAATCTGAACAGGATTACTGAAAGGCTAAGCAGAAGGTATTACTTAACAGATGTTCACATCACATGGCACAAAGGAACTATCACTAGAGAAAACAGAAGAGATGCAGTCACAGCTTTCACTTGCTGCATTGGCTGCACTCCAGCACAGAAAACAGGGATGCATTTGAATATCTTTTACTGGATGTTTTCAATGTGGTTTTCTTCCAGACTGAAAAACTTCAACCCTACTTCAAAAGTTCATAGGATCATTGGATTTCTTAGAATTTCTGTGTTGAGTTAATCTCCAGTTACTTTCTGAAAAAATTTAACAAAATAAATGTCTGCTGATCCACAGCCTTATATTTTCAGGTTGTTCCATCTGCAGAAATGCAGAAGAGATTTCTTTCTCTGCAGTAAGGGCAGAGAAAGCTCCTCTGCATTTACTTCGTCCCAGAACAGCTTCCCCCAGTGCTATTATCCCGTGGTAATCCTCTATCACATAATAGCTTTTACCAAAGTAGACCAAGTATGCATGATAAATAGTCTTTTAAAATCTAAAGATCTAGTCACTGAAGTTACTTACCCTTTGATTAGAATTTACAACATCAAAGAAACTAGCTTCACTGACTAGGTGAAGGAGGATGTAGATTAGGTAGTATGCCTGGAGAGAAATCAAAAGAGCTTTAGCAGTCAAAGCACAATCTTAACCCTTCACATCTAGATACAGCACTATCTTTGCTTTCCGGAATGACTCCTCCAACAGTCAGATCAATGGACAAGTATGCCTACACAATTGCGTAAATAACTAATTTGAAACAGTACATTCATATATTGGAAACATTTTAAAACAGTATTACACTGTTTTAAGTTACCTAAGTAACCTACAAAACTTACTGTCATTTTAGTTACTGAAAATGAAATTCAGCAGTTGGCTTTATTTTCCTCATTATCTACATCCAGATCCTAATACTTGCTAAGGGATTCCATAATAGGTTCAAATAACCAAACTTTTATTTCCATCCACCCAAAAACTGAATACTAAATCTTTCTAATATTTGTTTATGAGAAGAGATTCATAGAAGATTAATAAATCTCTTTTTGAAGCCTGCACGTGAAGGTCTGGCTCAGCATCAAACAGTTTCCACTGATTACATCAGAAGGGAGGGAGGATGGTCCTCTCATTACAAGACAGGACTCAAGACATCCATGTGACTTAGCCATTGTGAAAATCTGACAATCTCCCTATTTGTAAAACAGCCTAATACAGCTTCCTCCATCACATGCTACTTCTTTCCTTCCTCCATGACTATAATAAAAATTGAACACGAGTAATATTTTAATTATACAGATGAACAGCAACAAAATAGTGTACATACAGTTCAATGTACAGAACTGTCCTCAGTTAACAGAAATTAAAATAAACATTCTTAAAATTGTAGAAGATGCATAAAAAGGCAGATGCAAAAAAGCACTATCAGTATACACCTCCTGTTCTAGTTCTGTATGAAGGTGGTCTCCATTGGCATTCTGCTGCTCCAGTCCTCCTCTCATCTTCTTTAGTAGATTTGATGGTTTCATGTACACCAGAAACTGATGCAGAAGAGACATCTACAGATACAAACGGTAACAAATTGGACTGGTTTACTGGCCACAGTAAACTGGAAACCAAGTGCCACTGCAATACTATTTGTCCATTAAGACAAGAACATAAAAGGGATTTTTAATTGAAATGGAAGTTTTCATGCTTTGTATAATTTTCGACTGTTCACAAACTAAAGCATTTGTATGTTGTCTCAATAGAAGATCAGCCCTATGGAAACAAAGAGTGACTCTACATGAACACAAAGGGAAGACTGAAAGAAGCGTAGACCTCTTTCCGATGTCCAAAATCAACGTTTAGGCACATAAACAATACTGCACTTACAAGCTGCAGAACACGCAAGTTATACACAGGTGCAAATATCTCCTAATACTAATCTAAACTAAAACTTACTAATTGGTCATTTGGCAAGGTTCTAGAAAACAGGCTTACAGTATTAAGATATAAAATAAACAGACATACATGTTTTCTAAACTTTCAAATTATACACACAAAACACATATGCAGTACCTGCTTGTCACTGTCATCAGGTATTTCTGTATGTGTTTTATTAAGAAGCTTTGAAATTATCACCAGGCTAAGACGTCTTCTTACTTCCCTGAAAAACAATTTAAAAAGTTATTTCCCAGAGAATTTCTTAAATCCACACTTTGTTCCTACAAAGTATATGAGGCTATGCATGGCTTCCCTAGACATAAACCTGCCTACAACTATTAAATTGGATTTTCTGAATATAGGTGCTATTAAACTAGTAAAGAGGCTAGTAAAATATAACTACCGTATCTCATTGCAGCTTTTTCTTATGCACAAGTAAACACCACTAGATGCTTGCCTCCAAGCCTGAAATTGAGGACCCAATGCACTCTCCTTGCTCAGAAACATTGTATTTTACACATTTCAAATATACAGAACTCATAACAGATTGACACTTAAAACCAGACATGAATCACCCAAAGAAAATTTATTTTTGGTCATTTTTATTATATTATATTTTTGTCATATTATATTTTGGTCATATTATAATTTTTGGTCATTCAGACAAGAATTAGAGTAGGTGATGGATTCAGAATCTGAATTTGTTAAGTCTTTCTTTACTATATGGTACCAGGAAGTCCACAGCCCAGAAACTACACATAAAATGTAAAAATAACCCTTTTTCACAGCAAAGGTGATCAAGAAGCTATATATACACACACAATAAAACTTGTTTACAGAAAGGGCTGTCAGGCACTGGAATGGGCTGCCCAGGGAACTGGTCAAGCCCCCATCCCTGGAGGTATATAAAAGACGGGTAGATGAGGTGCTTAGGGCCATGGTTTAGTGGTGGGATGGCAGGGTTCGGTTAACGGTTGGACTTGATGATCTTAAAGGTCTTTTCCAACCTAAATAATTCTATGATTCTATCTGTAACACCCAAATACTTTTTTTTAAAGCATTGTGTAACACCTACTGCATTTATCAGACTTTCAGTTTATGCAGATAATTTATTTGTATCATTGACAGATAATTTATCTGTCAATGATACCACGTATCTCTGACATTACAGTGTCATTACCGTCCACGTATTATCCAGCTAGGCACCAGCTGAACAAGCCACAGGAGATTATGGTGATGACTGGAGAGTTCGCTTGCTGCCAGGCAGAGCTCAGGCATCTGTAAAAGAACAACAACAATCCCGATACTGAAGAATGATGGATATGGTGGGCATTTGTTTTATTTGCAAAGGAGTACACATCTACTCCCTAGAAACACACAATGCATAGATGTTAAAAGGAATTAAACTAATAAGAGATGAGGTGCATAAAGAGATTTCTGTATTGCGCCTGTAGTTAAGTCTGCTAAATACTATTTTACAGAAGGGTAGTTGAGATCAGATTGCTTTTAATGACATTTTATCAGCTTAGTGCATTATTTGAGAGTGCCATTTTAAACATACAGCTATTTTGGTAAGTGTAAGATTAAGTTCAATACAACAGCCCCGTTGCAGAAGAGGACAGGCAAGCAGAATGTCATGTGGCAAAACCCCTTCCAGTATACCCACCCACCTCCCAAGTTTCACACAAATCCAAAGCTCCCAATTTGTTCATATTACATTTTCAAGCAGTATTTTTCTGATATGTCAAGAAAAAATGAAAACTTCAAAACATAATTTCCTTGAAAATTAATTCATATTCAAATGTAGTTTCATAAATTAATAAAATAAAATTTATGAAGTTACCTTTGCATCCCAGTCTTTTATACTCATCAGAAGCTTTGTGAAAAGGCACTGAAAATCTACCAAAGGAATTTGCTTTAACTGTTTCTCCAAGCTCATTTTAAAGAGCAACAGAAGCAGCAGCAATATTTCTTGATCAGTGTATCCACCTTGAATTACTGTTGTACAGAAACCTAGAAACTTTTAAAGAAATAAGAAGCATTAAAATCTGAAATTGGTTTAGCTTATTTGGAAGTATGACAAGAACTTACATTTTTCCACCCTCATGTTAAGATGCACCTCAAATGACACATTGTTCTTACAACACTTTTGTACTAACATCTCCCCATTGCCCAGTACCTGCACATTTGTTTTGTTTGGGTTTGGTTGTTTTTTTTTTTAAATACCTGCTGGAGGCTCATCTTCTAAACAATGGCAATATTCCCCAGACATTACAGGAGTAGGAAAGATATTTCTCCACTGCACAGATAATCCTCATCTAACTGAATGAAAGACTGACAGACTTTCTAAATACACAAGCAATGCTGAAAAACGTAAATCCAAGAGATTCTTCCCCACTCAAGTATTATCACATGGATTACTTACAATATAGGATGTGTGTGTAAACGAGAACACAAATTAATCAAGATAGGTGCATTCTGGCTCTAGCAGAGATGCTCCAAGTGCTTTCTCTTGAACTAAGTGATTTTACAGTTACAAACCTCTGAAGAAATGATGCTAGGAGGATTCAGATATTTCCACGAGGAACTCCAAAATCAGTTACAGAGTCAGGATTTTCACCATACAACCTTTAATCATGGAGAACTAGCCTGTGAAGTGTGACTGGCACTCATTCAGCCTGTGGTCTCACGGGACACAGCGCATGGATCTAACAGCTCACTTCCACAGGAGAGTCACAGTCGCGGCCCCACCTGCCCTCCATGAGCTCCCACCTCATTCACCTTGTGCTGCACAGGGACTGATCGCGTACCTCCAGGAGCTGCACTAACACACCGAGGCAGCATGGAACATACCACCCAACATCAACTCCCCTTCCCATTTCCCCTGGAACACAGAAATGGATAGTTCCTTCTACATAAGGGAGCAGAGACATTTGATAAGTGCCACAGCTGGAAAAGGGAAGCAGCAGAACTGTGCAGTTGTGAGCGAAGCCAATGGAAGTCAGGAAACTCTAAAGTTTGCAACAAGCCTGCAATAATCTCTGCTGAACGTGAAGCCGAAACCCCCTACTCACAAAACATGCCCAGGACTAGAGTAAGACATCAGGGTTTTTGCTAAAAGACAAACCAAAAGCAACTCTTCCTCCACCCCACAAAAACCCTTCCCACACTAACTGCAGTTTTCTCACCTTAATCACATTAATTAAATTGTTTTCTGGTAGACTGGAGAAGGCTGGACTGGCAGACGTTAGGTCTCCTCTTGGCTGCTGTTTACTCACTGTTTCTTGCATCTGATTTCTAATAAAAGAGACACTGATCTGAACAATAAATCAACAATTTCAAAGCCCACAAAGGCTTATTTGCATCAAACTGAAGAAAAAAAAACAACACCAAAACACCCTGCGTTTCAAAATGCCTTCAAATCAAAACAATCCTCAGTTACAGAGCACACACATCTATCTCAACTTGTAACCAACTACTTACAATTCTGCCCAGCTATTTAGGCAACAATTCTTGTAAACCTCCATTAGGAAGGTGCATGACAAAGGACAACGCTCTGGTTTGCTGAATCCTTACCTAGCAGGCATTGTTTGAAGTTCTGGCTTACTTACTCTTATTAAGACCTGAGCTGAGAATTTAAAGAAGAGTATGCCTTGATGGAAGGGAGGGGAAATAAAGGAGACCCTTCTGATTCTACATTCTAAGCACAAGGCTTGCTTTCACAGGATCTAAGCAATAAATATCAAAAGGAAAACACTTACAAAATATCACACTCGTTAAAGTTGGGCTGAAGATGCTGCAATGGAAAGAGAGATCTAAACGCAACACCCATATTGACAAAAACAGCTGACACATCAGCTAGTGAAGGAATCCATGGTTTAGACTGTTCATCACTGATGGAAGCTACAAGTAAAAGACATGGAATGGATTAGTTTTAAATTTAGTTCTTAGAATTAGTTCCTTTTAAGGGAAACAAATAAGCTCATCACTCTGCATCAATTCTACCAGCTTTCATCTCAGAAGAGCTGGTACACTGAACGGTGGAGGGGGATGAAGTAGTCTAACAGTCTTTTACACTAGAGAAATATCTTGCCCACGTAACAGGTCAATTACTTTAAAGTTCCACCCATGTTCCCTCACAGCTCATTTCATCTCAAACAGCAGAATAAGCAAGGAGGCAATATTTACTTTTAAGAGAATATGTAAGTTACCATTCCGCGTAGGTATAGATAAGAGGGCGTTATCATAGTGGGACTGGAAGTGGAGCTAAATAAGATTTCAAAACAGGCAAGGTTTCTAGAACAGAAGTGCTAAAACGATGGAATTCCCTTATTTGAGAGAAATAAGAAACAATGGTTATTGCAAAAAGAGCTGATTTGTATGACAACTTGTACCTGAAAGTCTGCAAACTGTACAGAGGATTCTCTACAGGACACTAACAAGGTAACATCAAACTAGATGCAGGGTTTTCCAAACAATGACAGAAGTCACTAGAATTCTGAATTGGGTCAATTTTATGTCTTAGAGCTAAGTTTGTAAGGAAAAAAACGAATATAATGGAACACAACACTCAAGACACTGTATGTTCAGATCTCAGTGTTCAAATCAGTAAAAAACCCACCACCAACAAAAAAGATGCATCCTTGGTTAAGCACTAGAACAGAATGTTTCAGAATGGCTTAAAGACTCCACAGTTGACAATTTTAAAGTGGTTAGACAACTTTCCAGGAGCAACTGTAGCCTATTTGATCCTGCCCCAAGGTCAGAGATCTGCTGGGATCTCTCCCAGCCTTAATTCTTTGAATGCTCATTCATCAGCTTGAACTGCTCATTCAGAATCAAGCCTAACACCAGCAAATCACAAAATAAAGGAGGCTACATTCCCTCTTGTATCAGCTCACAGTCTGATTTCAAACAAGATTCAAAATATGGGGTGCAATTTGGACAGACCTGAGCAAGTATTTCAAGAGAACCACATTACTTTAACAATGTTAACTGGCAGGTTTAAATGAATCGGTGACTTTTGATGGATCTGAATAAAGTGAAGACATGGAGAACATACAAAGGAACTTGTACTGGAAACGTATTTGAGAGTACAGATGAAAGAAGGTAAAATACACAAGACACGAGCAGCAGTGTGGGCTGAAGCAGATCCTTGAAAGTGGTTTTGTGCAGGTGTATGATTTTTTTTCACTTTAGCCACTTATCTGGAAAGTAAACTATGCAGTGCTACATACTGGGTATGACTATGTGAAGAACATCTTGTAGTCCTTAAGCTATGAAATGAATGTCTGCATCTTCCAAAGTAGAAGATGGAAAGGAGAATAAACCTTTGAGCAGACTGGGCTCCTCTTCAGGTCAATTATATTTGTGAAACAACAGAAGTGGGTTTAAAAGGCTCTGTACCGGACGCACTGCTTTGCAAATACATGCCAGGACCACATCCTGTGGTACAGCTTGCACACACTCAGTGAAGACCAACTCCTAGCATTTGTGCACTACATTAAGTAACAGAAGAGCCTAAATTAATGCCAGAATCACAGAACAGAACCAGTGCCTTTTACCTCCTCCCCAATACCTTTCTATACTTAACGGAAGGGAAATGCCTTCACTCAGGTGGTCAGTTTTCCATCCTTCAAATACTCACCATTTTTTAGTGTTATCTCCATCAACCTGTCTAAAATCTGGGTGGAAACAGAATAGTCAGGATGAACAGACATCATCTGTGGAGAGAAAAGCAGCTACGTGTCAAACACCAAGTTGCACGATGGCATCAGTTTTCGTTTGATTAAAAGAAAGAAATAAACCGACTTTTTGGTAAAATAAAGAAACAGTAGCAGGAAAAAAAAAAAACCAACAAACCCAGACCCCAAAGCCTCTAAAGCAAGATACACCAAGGATAACAGAATATTATGAATATTTATTATTTCAAGCAGTGCACAGATGCTATGAATAGTTTAAAATTAATTATTTGCAATATCAGAATGCTGTAACCCCACGTTGAATCTGTTGGTGTGTAAGAAGGTACTGAGGGTTAAGAGAATGGAAAGTATCATGTATCCCCTTGGAACTCATTTGCATCTGTGAGCAAATTGAACTCCTTGATCGGGAGCAGGGTCAGAGTTAACTATAACCTTTTCCAGACATGGGCAAGTTGCACATATGCAATACTAAACCAAAACAGTGAACTCTTAACTACAAAAACATGATTATGAAGTACAGTTCAGATTTCCTGGGGAACTTCACTCCCCCAGCAAAAACCCCTTCTTTTTCTCCCCCAAGTGCTGGACAGTTTCCTGCTCTGTAAATGAGCTGAATTGGCTCATACTTCCTCCTTGTTGGAGGAACACCAGGGCTCACAGAAGGGGTGGAAGGCAATTTTTTACTGGCTGGAAGGAAGGACATGTAGGAGCAAAATGTTTCCCTTTCAGCAAAAGCAGAAAGCCAGTCAACAGACCCCAGCTGCAATTTCACAGGCAGTCCAGCTTTCTTTTTTTGTTTCAGACACAGTTAGAAAGTGGTAAATAATAAAATGGAGATTGGAGAAGGGTGTTTTTGTGAGTAACAGAACTGTTGGCGTGTAAATTCCTGGGGCTTTGAACCTGGACACAGACATCTAGAAAGCAGACAGCCACCACGATTCCTATGAGAATGGGTCCAGACTTTTTCCTGAGCCATAGTGCATGTCGACCTTTTCCAAATGAAAATTACCTGATAATTTGGGTACCTCTGATGATTTACAAGGTGATATATGTAGAAATGGTACTTTTGCATACTGCAGCATGTTTCGGGGTTGTTGTTGTTAAGGGTGGAAGGAAATAAGATTAACATCTGCTTGTGATTTGGCCCACATTATTATATCCTGAAATCTCTTCTCACCTAGCATGTACTGTGCCCTTTTGAAATGCAAGTAACACGTATGAGAATGGACAGAGATGTATAGCTTTGCAGTCACTGAGGTGTGAAGAAAAGTTATCCCTAGTGTCTTGCCCCTAAGTGACAATCAAAGTATTTCAGATTGGAGAACAAATCAGAACGCAGAAAGAAAGATGATTTTTTTTTTATTCAAAAGCTGTTAACCTAATGCAACAGATTCACAAACTTGTTCTGATTATTCCTGCTACAACTGGCTTCCAGGAAGAACATTATACCTAGACAGACTATAACTGCATGAATAGCATAGTCTTACCTGGAAAAGCCACTTTAGAATTGGTATGGGACACAAGATACAACGGTAAGCAGAACTCAGAAAACCATTGATAGCTATGGAAAGCTGCTGTGTTACACCAGAACTGTAAGACAAAGATGGGGGTGGGGAAAGAGGAGAAAAATCAATCAGTGGTTGAATCAGCACTTTCACAAAAGCGCAATAAGTTCCCCACCCCTCAGATCATCACCGACAGCAAACAAAGACCTGAACATCCAAACCAGATGCTACTCTCATGCTCATACCTATATGAAATACTATAGTAATTAAACCTTATTTGTTATTTAGAACAACTATCTTTTTCTCCAGAATGCCATACTATAACATGTGGACACATTTGTATTATTAGGGAATAATAGCTTCAAACATTGATTTACACTATTGTACTATGAACCATTATGCCTGTCTACACAGATGGGCTGCTATGCTCAATGAGACCTGTGAATAAAATTTTTTTTTACTGTCCAATGACCTTTATCAACACTTTTAGAAGAGAGAAAAACTTTCTTTGAAATTTTAAAAATAATCTTCTAAATAGAGAGTCTGGAGGGAAACCAAAACAATTAAAACAAAATGGTCTAATCTCACTGTGCAAATTTGTGAGGTGCAAGAAGTAGCTGTTGGAAGAAAAGAAAATATGTCATTTTTATTACTGAATTGTTTTAGCTTTAGTCATCTTTAGAGGGTCAGGTATGTCATAAGCACCTGAATTAACAATATCCAGTCTCCCACTGACAGTTTAATGAAACAGCAGAGGAAAAGAATACTAATACTACTACTAATAGTAGGAGAATATACAGAATATACAAATCAAGTGATGCACAGTGCAATTGCTCACCACCCGCTGACCGATGCCCAGCTTGTCCCTGAGCAGCAGGCGCCATCTCCTAGCCAACTCCCCCCAGTTTATACACTGAGCATGACATCATATGGTCTGGAATAGCCCTTGGGCCAGTTGGGGTCAGCTGTCCTGGCTGTGTCCCCCCCCCCAGCTTCTTGTGCACCTGGCAGAGCTGGGGAAGCTGAAAAGTCCTTGAGTAGTCTAGGCACTACTTGGCAGCAACTGAAACATCAGGGTGTTATCAACATTCTTCTCATACTAACTCCAAAACACAGCTATGCCAGCTACTAGGAAGAAAATTAACGCTATTCCAGCCAAAACCAGGACACACACATACCCTTCCTTTAGCCTCCTCTATTCTCAGTATCTACTAAAACAGATAGCTCTGTTGAGAGATCCCTGTCCTTGCTTCTCTATATACCCTCTTCCTGTCCGAGCAAGTGGCTAGGAAGACATCCACGTACCAACCAGAGAGCCAGTATGTGCCAGCTGGGCAGAATGGATAAGCAATTAAGCCATAATTACCTTCTGCAAGGCATGATTCATTTAATTCTCATTCCTCCAGTCACCGACTTACAAGATACTTTTGAAGCTTATATCCTTGTGATCTTCAAAACATATTAATAAAGAGGCCTGAAGCCAAAGGAGTATATCACAAACATCGCTTCCTCAAGAGATGAGGAGAAGCCACCCTCCTCCTTCACACCCATAATAGCACATACACATGCATATAAAATCCTTCAAGATTAAATGAATTCTCTCAGTTTCACTGATGCAAGTTTGGAATAAAATACCAACTGAAATAACCAGAATTTTTCAGGATTTGCACTTGTGGTGTTAAGCAAGAATTTCTCCAACTATTTGTAGCCTGACAGCCTCATAAATATAGAATAAAAATCCCTATGAGTTACAGAAGAGTTGTGTTTATACACAGAGACATGCTGCTAGCTCCGTGACTGAATCTAACGGATGTCAGAAATCGTGGCTTTCTGCAATCCTCAGTAAGCCCTAAGTCTCAGGCCCACGTCTTTCTGCAGACATAATGCAACATTAGTAGGTCACAAATCCGTTCACCACACAGGACCTCTTTTTGTCTTGGGACAGTTAAGCTTTTGGTCATTGTAACATTTCACTTCGGCATTTATCTTCCACAAACCAGTCAGATTATCAACGATAGCCCAACACAGTAAAAATATGGAAGTGGCCACAACAACTTTTTTTTTTTCTAGTGTCTCACTTAAGGTGTTTTTTTCAAGAATTCCAGTGGAGGAAAGAAGGAATCTTCAAGTAACAATTCATTGTTCTGTAAAGCTAACCTGGAAAGGAGAGTTCCAGGGAACTGGAAGTCAGTCTGGCCTACTTAGTAACACAGAGCTTATTTGCATGCAAAGATACTATTTCGTCTTAAGAACTGCTAAGACTGAAGAAAATCTTACATGTAAACACAGAGCCAAAAGGATATTCTTACCTAATAAGGAGCTTTTCTATAGGATTTTGAGGGATGAAATGAAAATTCCTGAAGTCAAGGTTATGTTGATTGAAGATTTTCCCAGAGGTTGATAAATCAAATATATCTTCTCCAGGGTGGTAGTCAGGTATGGCATGAGCTATTACTGAAAATCTCTTTAAAAATGCCCTGTAAAATTCAAAACAGATTTTATGAATTTTAACACAGAGAGGCTATTTTCTGGTCGAGACAGTTATTTTCAGATGAACACATCAGCCTTATGTGAAAGCTGAATCGTTAAAATACATTAATGTTCAAGAAAATCCACCCAGCCCCGAAAGATGATAAAAATTGCTCACATTAAACATATTAACAACTACTGATGGAAAGAGACACATGAGAAAAAAAAGACTAGAAAAGTGAAGAACTAAATATAATTGGTTTTGGAGTTGGAAGGACCTGTGCTCTTCTGAGAGATCTTCATCTCCACTGGCATTCTCAGCGTCATCTTCATCTGAAGAATCAGTTTCCCTTCCTTGTATGTCTTCCTGTAACCGTTTTTCTAGTTCATCTACCCTGAAATAACAGTAGCAGCAGAACATATCATCTCCATTTAGTATTTACAACAGAAGATAACAAAATTTAAGCTCTGAGTGTGAACCCAGAAGTCAGTAGCCAATTACACACAGCAAAAGCACGTGAGACGTTGCAAGATGCTGTGCAAAACCCAAGCATTTTGCTATTCCAAGATACAAGGTGGATGTTTCCCAAAGCGTAATGAATTTCCAATAGCATAATCAATTGCTGGTTTGTCAGAGAGGAATACACTCAACCAACTTCTGACAGATTTTTTTGTAATTGCACAAAACTTTCAGTCTTCTAGATGATTTTTTAAAATTTTTTTTTAACATCATACTAGTACTTTATTTGTTAAATAGCATTAGTTATAAGAGTATTCACCACTCTATAGTCAATCAGCCCATACTTACTAGGGTCAGATTCTTTAATAAAAACAGTTAATCCCACATGCATACCCATCACCACCACTTGCCATTAGTACATACACCACATGACACTTTCTGCCCAAAAGATCTCTTGCAAAAAACACTCATTAGTTCTGTTCACTGAATTGTGTAACTACTCAGATACACAGGTTTGGAAACCAAAACTGAGCTACAAATGCCTTTGAAGAAACTAGTACAGTCAGTCTATATAAATACTTTTATTTCATGCCGGACCAGCAGCTGGTAGCTGGCTCAGTGACCTACAATGAAGGCATCAGTAAATTTAGCCTGGTTCTTGAGGAATAGACAAATGTATCACAAATCACTCCTTACTGCTTGGTAGGAGCCTGTCATGCATCTTTCACAGTAGGTCCCATCAGATGTATGTTGGTGGCACCAGCAGGCAAGGCTTAGCTTGTTGCTACCCAAAGTCCATCAGTTTCGGAGAGACAAGGTAAATCTAAGCTTCTACAACTCCTTCTCCAATTTTTCAAAGCAGCTTTAAGAAACAAACCTTTTAGAGTCTTCTTTCTCCTTCAAGAGGTGTTCTAAGCTGTTCACATATGACACCTGGCTAACAACAGGAGGCTTAGAAAGCTGTAAATGAAATAGTAAGAATTTTTTAAAAATCCCACAAACTATCAATTCATTCAGCTAGACGACAAACATAATCAAAGTAGAAACCTCTTCCAATTTTAATGATATTTTACCTGAAGATAAAAACTTAAAGGAGACCCCAAAAAAAACGGATGATTAACAGTTCTCTCAGTCCCTTGACAGTTTTATATAATGGTCAAATCTCTCTCAGTGATAAAATTAGAAATAACTGTGCTTCACAATGGATCTGAAGAGCAAAGCAAGTCTCTGCCTCTCTCCCTGGGGCTGACCTCCAGCTAACCTTCACAAAGAGCATTAGCATCAGAAGCCTTTTACCTCACAGCTTACTTTATCATTATCATCCACTGAGACCTTGGGAATGCCCATTCTAGCGCATGAGACAAGAAATTCCAAAAATAATTTTACTCTTTGTTACTTTCAGGAGTCCCTTGAGGGCAAAGCACCAGTGTTTGCTCGATCGCGTCCAAAATCATCAGACAAAACAAAGCTTCCAATCAAAATCCTAATACAAACCCAAATTAAGAAGCTAATAAATGGAATTTAAAAACAAAACAACATGCAAAGAAAGTCTTAACCCCTAGCAAAATTAATTTGTTTTTCAGCAGCCAGTGTTTTATTCAGCTAGTAGCAGACAACATAGATCTGAAATCTTTTCCGGCCACGATTCAGTTGTTTGGACAATCAGTGCCCTTCTGACACCACCTTCTTAAATTGCAAGCCTCTTACAAGCCTTTACTCCTCCTGAGTGAAGGAGCTCATAGGAAGAAGCTTTGTAATTTTAGAAGAACACAATTCAGTAGGAGCATATCCTCTTGTTGGGGATTTTCTGTTATCCAAAGGTACAAGTAGTTAGTTAAAGAAGTTAGCATCCGCCTCCTAATAAAAAAGCCAGTTAATACAGCATTAACTTATAGTATACAGCGCTATCTTTCAAATGTATCAAGCAGCACGTCTTTGTGTGGGAAATCTTGTCAGAAAGCTGAAGACCTCTTACCTTATTTTCTATCTGGTTAATATGCCTAAACAACTTTTGAACAGAGGAATCGAGACTTTATTCCAATGTGCACATATGCCCCTTCATAGAAGGTAAGAGAAGAATGCTATTACATGCAAAAACCACGGTGATGGAAATTTTGGGATAGTTCTTAACTGTTTTATCTTACTTGGCCATTAATTATGCAGAAACAGCACAGGCCGAATGTTGCAGTCACATTCATGTTCCACAAACATTTGATCTAGGCCACATCTGTTTATCAGTCTTAACCAACATGTCTATTTAATTAGTGGTTGAGATTGTGCAATACACACATAACCACAAAAGTCTGATCTATAACATGCTTGCACAATTAAAGGATAAGGAGAGATAAAATAATTATGGCTGGTCAATATCTGCCTGAAGAGACACTCTAAGAAAAACTCAATTAACAAATAAACCATTTCGGAGATTTAAAAACAGGAGAAGACAAGTACGAGAGTATTTATGCAGGTATTCTGCTAACAGCAGGTTTGTTTTCTACTGCAAAAAGATTGCAGTGGCTTGACCCCAGCCAGCAGCTAAGCACCACGCAGCTTGTTCATTTCCCCAAGTGGTGCAAGGGAGGGAGGGAGCAAGAAGAGCAAAACCAGGGAAACTCATGGGTTGAGACAAAGACAGTTTAATAAGTAAAGGAAGGGAGAGGGAGAGGGAGAAGGAAAAGTGATGCAAAGGCAATCACTCAGCACCTCCCACAAGCAGGATGCCCAGCTAGACTCCGAGGAATGGCTACATGCCAGACCAGCTCCCCCTGCTTGGTTTTTATTGCTGAACACAACACTATGTGGCATGGAACAGATCCCTTTGGTCATCTGAGGTCAGCTGCTCATGCCACACCAAGTCTTACTGTGGGATCTTTCCAGTTAAACCATTATTTTACAATAAAACTTCAAAATCACAACTTATTTGACAAGCTGTCATTGAACAAATAGGCTAGCTTTTAAAAACACAGATCAATCTACCATAATATCCTGTAAACTAGGATTCCAACACTTCTTCATCCATCCCTTGCGAGAAGTCATTAAGCTTTTTGAAATCCATTCTAAAATACTTCCAATCTCCATGAAATTCAGCCTCAGAGAAAACATCACACTTACATATCAAGAACTCGTACACAGATTTCTGACAATCACAGACCACGACAAGAATATATGACTGGAGTCCAGCACACAGATCTCTCAGATAGATCCATTTCCTCTAGCTAACTTCAAGTCATAAAAATCTTACCTGATCAGGAAAATGAAAACATTAGATCCCACACATCTTCTAAATGTAACCTCCTGCCTTTTTCTTTAGGGGGGAAAAAGCAAAAACAGAGCTCCTAAAAAAAACACCGAAAGGCATACAGCTAATGCAAAATCTGGCTGCACAAACCATCCTTCAGCCATTCCAAGAGCAAGCAAAGTAACAAGCACCCTTTCTCTGACTACATTGCACTGTACAGCATAGGACCTTTAAGTAAGCTGAGTGACCAGTTCTGCAGGGAAATAACTGAGTTTTCATGCATTATGAATAAAGGAAAAAATATAATATAACAAAGTTGATGCAATACTTTTTTTGTTTTTATCCACTTACATGAAGCTTCAGTAATGGAGTCACGGTATCCTGAGTAAAACTGTCAAGACAAGATTCTTCCAGGGTTCCTGCCTGTGGCTTGGGACTTGAAGACAGAATTTCTTGCAGTGGCACGAACACTTCTTCATCATCATTGTCATCATCAGCTAGACTGCATTCCAAACTCTCATCTTCACTATCAAAGCTGTTTTTTGCTTTTCCATTCAACTTGGACTTGTCTGCACAGGTGCTTTTAACTTGTAACTCGCCTGAGACTTGTGAAGACATATGGCTGCTGTCTATGCACCCTTCTTTAAAAGTCATTGAACAGGGACCACTTTTACCAGTCTCTTCTGAGGGCGCAGGTTTCCCAGAACCTTCCACTGAACAAGAATCAGATGTGTTTTCTGAAGTCTTGTCTTTTGTTTTTGAAAAACCGTTGCTGGATTGAATACTGTAAGCTTTATTGTGCGCATGTCTTTCTGGTCTTTTCCCATCTTGCTCCTTCGTAGCATCCAATACCTGAGATAAGCCAGCATTCTGGAGATGAGAATCCACACCTTTTGCTTGTGTTAAGTGGTGGAGAGAAGGCAACACAGTACTTTTTTCCTGAGAAAAATGAAGCGACTTTTCCAAGAAAAAGCGTGAGTTAGCCGCCTGCAATTGATTCTCTTTGGTATCTACAACAGAAATGTGGTTATTTTTACCAGGACTGTGTGCAGAATATGAAGATGACAAACCTACAGAGGAGCAATTATTGTTCTCATTTTCATTGCTTGAGTTGAGGTATTCCTCTGGAACAGTAGAATCATGTCTAGGCAGAGCAGCAGCCTCCATTAATTGTAGAACATCACCACAATTAGATTTTAAAAGGATATTTTTTACAAAGTCAGACCTCTTATTTTTGCATTTTACAGATGACCTACTAAAAGCAGGGTCATTCAAACTTGATAATTCAGATTGATTTGAACTGTCTGCATCCACACTCATGGCAGCATGTTTTCTTTTCCCAGGAAGGTCTATTTGTTTGGATCGCGCAGAAGACATCTTAAATCTAAGGCAGTGTGAAGGAACAGACTGGCTCTTCCACATACCAGCAGCCATCTCCGATGACATTCTCAGTGCATTTGGAGAAGATGCCTCATGTTTTGAAACCTTCTTTGGCTTTGGTTGAGATGGGTCATCTATGAATTAAGAAAAAAGTAAACCACTGTTGTCATGTTTAAAAAAAAATTGTAATAATAAAAAGTCATAACTGTAATAGCTTACTCTTTAAAAAACTAGTTTCTCTTTCTAAGTCAACCTACGACTGAAATTTTTATCAGAAACTACAATACTTCCATTCTGCTTCAATACAGTGAACCACAATTAAGATTTTGCTGATATTGTACTGTAACGTTATTACCGTAATTAACTTGGAAATGAAATAAAATCCTTTTATTTTAAAGCAGCTCAGGAGCCACCGTAGAACTCTGTTTCTATACACTAGAATCAATCAGTCTTTGTGAACAGACAACAGCCCAGCTGAGGTATGGGACTGGAAGAAAGCTTCTGTAATTGCATATAATGGTTGTAAATAATGAACATTATGAAAAGGATTTTGGAAATAGTGCAATAATTTTAACAGTGCTTATGAAAAAGCATTCAGAATATGAAGAAATCTGTTTTCAGGCTGTGGTTCTATGGCACCGGAGCCACCTTCCTCACTATGCTTTTCTGCTTCCTGCCTTTATCTGACACCACCACCTGGACACTTCATGGCAAGCTACTTCATTCATGGAGCGGATGTGGCTTGACAATTTTCAGCCAGATCAGCTCCTCGCACCACTAGCGCAGGCAGAAAACAAACCATAGCAGCAGAGAGTCTGAGAGGTTTACACAGCCATGGACCCACAACGTGGGAATACTCTCCTTGTTTTGGGTTTCCTCCTCCCTGCTTTTTTTTCTTTTTTTTAAAAATCATCCTACTGACCTAGCTCAAGCTTCCATTCATGTGAGCTTTTTATATTCAGTTCTACCTGCTGTAGAACAAAATTATGTGGTTCAAAGGGACAAAAAGCAACAAGAATGCCAGCTAAACTTTAGTGTTTGGTTGAGTAAGAATGTTCTTTTTGCATTAAGCTGAAAGGCAAAATTTGTTAACCATCTCAGTGAATGTGGATTTTCCAAAATACAAGAGAAACCATAAAAATAATCAGGGATTTAGGGTTTAAGACAAAGAAATATCGTGACTTCTAATTATATTACAAACAATCTGTTTTTCACTAAAATCCCAAATTACTTTTGAACCTCTTCAAGCGTGCCATATATTAGAAATAACCTTGACTATGCAGCAGTAATTTTTTTTGAGAGAAAACAGAAAAACATAACTTCAAGAAAAAAAAAAGCCATTAAAAAGAGACACCAAGTGATGAACCCGATTGTTTAATTAATTCCATATTATCAGCACTGCTTCTACCTGAGGCAGTTTCCCTTGAACCAGAATGTGGTATTTTTCTCAAAGGACATCCATTTCCCTAAAAATAAAGATGGAGAAAATAAAAAAGTTAATTGCATACTTTTTAGAACCAAGATGTTGACGTCTTAAGCCAAGTGTTGAATCTAGCACAGAATTAGTTCCACATACCCCCAGAAATATGGTAATATATTTCATTTCAAGACAAACTTAAAACCCAGCTGCAAAGATCTCAAAAAAATGACTCTCCACAACCTGAATTTTTTATCTTTTCTTCAGAGTGGCCTGCGGTTCTAAATCTCTCCACTTTCAGGGCCATTAGCCCTTGTGTCCCTGGGCTATACGGCAACATAGCCCTGATGGCTTTCCTCAAACAAGTCATTAGGAACTTAAATAACAAAATGACAGAAAGCATAGAGAAGCATATACAGAGGGAAAGGTGCCAAGGAGAGAAGGAAATACAAGCTAAAAAAAATCTTTTTTCTTCCATTCATAGCACATTATGGAGGCACACATAATGATCTTCCTTGCAAGAAACGGGCAGGCAACCTTTTGAAGGGTTTTCTTGGTTGGTAAAAAAAGTGAACACAATTCAACCTGTAATGAAATACCCCAGATACTTAATAGGACCACTTCCACTGTGGCTTAAGTGCATAAATCTTGAACCACTATTAACTGCAACTTCTAACTAGCAGAAATTTACCAGGCCATTCCTTACGCTATAGTGTAAGAACGCATAAGATTATAAGACACTTAAGATAATAAAGACTTTTTCTCTACAAAAGATAATTTAAAGTTATGATTTCCCTTGTATTTTCATGCTTGCATCTAACCCAGAATATTCCCCCTGCTTTTAAATGAGGATTTCTCATTTACTGTAAAATAGTTAAGAATTGGCTTACCCAAGCATGACCTAAGGTTTACAAAGGAATAGCAAAAGAGCATAAACTTCATCACATCTGAAAAAGGCAGCACCAAGAATCTCATCCTACACTGAAAAAGAAAAAAAAAACCCACCACAACAAAAAACTGAACACATAATGAGTCGCTGATTTCCACCTTTAACATCCCTTTTAAACACACCTGATGTGATAGACTTGTTCCTGAGAATGGCTTTACAGGATGTGGCTTAGATTGTTTCACTCGGTGTTTATTTCGCTTCCCCTCTCTGCAGAGAGCTTCCAGTGGCAACCTAAGTTCAGAGTCAGTTGGAGAGCAGCACAATTCCGTGGGAAGCCCTGGGTTTCGGCACAGAGATGCGTTGTTCACAGTGCCATTATTTCTAGCACAGGCTTTTTGAGTATCAGCTTCTGATGATGAAACCCATTTATCAGAGTCTGAACTAGTGTCCTCTAGATCCATACAGTCAGTTTTCTGTTCCCAACTATTTCCACAAGATAATGGTGCTTTTGTTACATCCAGACACTTCTCATTTCTTTCCTGTTCTGACTTGGAAATTTTGTTCTTTTTGGCCAAGAAACAGCTACGAGACCCTGCAGTAATAAGGAGTTTCTGAATCACAACTTTTGGATACAACGAACCCAGTGCCTTACACGCTCTGCCATTCTCTAAAATGTTTACGTTGTCCTTTTTCTTCTTAATTCCTCTCCGAAAGGCATCTATTACAGGACTTGTGTTTGGTGTTTGGTCTGGCATATTTTTTCTTCTGACCTTCTTTGGAGAAGATATTTTCTTTTCAAAACGTTCTGTGCATAGAACTGACAGTCCGATTCCTGCATCTCTTACATTTCCTCTGTCTTTATGGCCAAGGTCTAAGAGAGAAAAGAAAAGACAAATTATTCACAATCACAGTATTGGAAAAAACCATCTAATTTGACTGTATTACTTGATATCTTCTCTCTCACGCAATTCAAAATTAATTTGTTTAATCATTTAGTTTTGCTAGTGCCATGCAATTTATTTCATACAAAACAACTGCATGATACATGTTACAGCTTCAGTTGTTATAAACAATCCAACTTAAGTGTGAGACAGTAACTTGAAATAATAATTACATCACTATTTAAAGAAATGAATTCTAATAGGAAATTAACATTTTCAGCTATATTATTAGAAAAAAATTCAAACATGATCATTTTGACATATCTAGTAAGCTATACTCCTTATATTGCTGCTCCAGTTTGGAATGAGATTGGACTATACTTCTGCACACTTATATAATTAAAACTCATGAATACTTTCAATTTATTTTTTTTTTTTAAAAATATATTTACCTTGCTTTAAAACTGGTTTGAAGAACTCTGTAATGGTCTGGTTTCTAAAGAGAAAAACAATAACTTTATCTTTTTAAAAGAACAATACCTAAATGCCCGTACAGTGAGTATTGATAAAATTAAAATGCTGTAATTTATTTCTACAGAGTGGTTTTTTTTTTGGTTTGGTTTTTTTTTCCAATGCCAGCAGCTCTTATTTCTGCTAGATCAGAGAAAGTATCATCCTCCTCATCACCTTCTAGCCTTCACTCAGCTTGGCTAATGAAGCCAACCTGTCAGCTTCCTCACTCAAACTGTTCCCTTTATCATCCTGTAAATCTTAACCACCCTTCCAGCTTAAACTAAGCTTTCTTAAATGGGAATGACCTCACCTGCATCCAGTATTCTAGATGAGACCTCACCAGTACCTTATATGATAGTGTTAACCACCTCCCCCATCTCCACTGTCAACATTTTGAGCTGGTAACTCCTACCATAATTTTTTTTTTAGGTGTTATAGGGGTAAGCAACTGGCCTGACCAATACCATCAGTGACCAAACCCTCTTCAATCCATTATTAGTTGCAATAAAGTCTAACCACAAAGTTCTATCTGCAAGTTGTAAAGTTCAACTAATCCTGCAACTTTCTTCCTGTTGCCCAAACCCCTTTGTGCACCATTGTTTGTTGCTTTTTTCACACAGCTGTTGCCAGGCTGGGATGCAAATTCCTACCTGCACTATTGCCAGACGAAAATACACGTCAGTGGCACCCCTCCCAGTGCACATAACGGGCATCTTCTGGCTTCTAACAAACAGCAGTCTACAACCATCTTATTTTTACACATACACAATAAGATTATTAATAGCTTTAAATCAGAGGTATTTTCCCTGGCAAGAATAAGTAGGATGTGAGAACACCAAGGTGTTTCTCTGTGAGAGAATGTCACATCTAAAAATGGGCAGATTGTCTCAGTAAAGTACAATTTGAACATTAAAATACATCAAGAATATGAATTTGCTACCTTCATCTTTTCCCATGTAGCAAGGAAGTTTACTAATGTCTTCAAGGCTATACTTATGCCTGTTTTGGAAGTTTCTCTTCAAGTTCCAACAAGATATTGGTGTGAGAAAGCAAAAGTAATACAGATTTGTTTAAGATCTTCCATCTTTTGCAACCTTTCTGTGCCTGCCAAAACAAAGCTATTATTGTTACTGTCCATGTAACAGTGATTACAAAGGCAAAACTTGCTTTTTCTAGATTCTAAGCTAAAGTATTCAAGCATGCATACATGACTCTGCTTTCACAGACTCAACAACTGTTTTTGAAGTTCAGGCCAGAACCACCCATGCCACTGCTCACTTGTTCAAACTACACTTGGATTTAGTTTTCAATCTTTCCGTAAGCTTGTTACTTTCACTTTTGCATTTTCTACAAGGCTTCTGCATTTTTAGCACCTAGTCAATTACAAAAACCTGTTTATACTGCACTGATACTTCTTTAATTGGGCTACTGGCAAGCGGTGATGTTTGAGTATACTGTAACTCAACAAAAAGCTGCCTGTCATCAGAATACACGAGTGCAATATTTAATTGGGATAACTGGGTATCCACCCCTTATCCTATAGCATTTACGTCATGCCCAGGTGTTACCCTTTCCAATACATTCCAATTCATCACCACCACTTTCCCCGTCTTTTGACATAGACACACAGATATCATTCCCTTAGTCTATGGGCCACCCCTCTCAAATGCCTGTTGGGTTAATTTAGTCCACGACTTTGGGCTCCAACTGTTGTAACAGTCTTTCAGGGCAGGAGGGATGGGGTGTGGTGCTGGATTGTTGCACGCTGAAGCCAGTTCTGGTTCCATCCCTGCTGCACTTGCTTGGTTTTGTCAAAATTAGTTCTTCATTAATCTGGGCGATTCTTACTGTAATACTGTTGATATGACATATAGCAATCATAAAAGTGATGACATATAGTATTATACAGCAATTAGTATAATTTCAGTTCACTGGCTATTTTCACCCAAAATCAAATTGCCTTGAGGTACACATTGGACTTCCCCATCCTTCCACATCACCCACCAAGTGCACCCAGGTCCTTGAGCAAAAGCAATCCCATGAATGGGTTTGCCTTTGCACAAGGCAGGAATAACCCAGACTGCCTTCTTCGGCATATTTTTTATGTGCACTACAGGGACTTTATTCCCCTCCACAGTATGTAAGAGGTTTGATGGGGCAGGGCCAGACCGACCGGCAGATCCCCTAGTGTTGACTAACCAGGTGGCTTTTGCTAAATGTGTACCCCAATGTTTGAACATCCCAGCACCCATTGCTCTCAGCGTAGCCTTTAACAGTCCATTGTATCATTCAATTTTGCCGGAGGCTGGTGTGTGGTAGGGGATGTAATATACCCACTCAATGCCATGCTCTTTGGCCCAGGTGTCTATGAGGTTGTTTCAGAAATGAGTTCTGTTGTCTGACTCAATTCTTTCTGGGGCACCATGTCACCACAGGACTTGCTTTTCAAGGCCCAGGAGAGTGTTCTGGGAGGTGTCATGGGGCACAGTGTATGTTTTCAGCCATCCGGTGATCACTTCCACCATTGTAAGCACGTGGCGTTTCTCTTGGTGGGTCTGTGGGAGTGCAATACAATCACCTGCCAGGCTGCTCCACATTTATATTCCAGCCACAGTCCTCCATACCAGAGAGGCTTTAACCGCTTGGCTTGCTTGATCACAGTGCATGTTTCACATTCACGGATAACCTGTGCAATAGTGTCCATGGCCAAGACCACCCCTTGATCATGAGCCCATCTGTATGTCGCATCTCTTCCTTGATGGCCTGAAGTGTCATGGGCCCACCGAGCTATAAGTAATTGACCCCATGTTGCCAGTCCAGATCCACCTGAGCCACTTCAGTCTTAGCAGCCTGATCCACCTGCTGGTTGTTCTGATGTTCTTCAGTGGCCTCTTTGGTACGCGAACATCCATGTGATGTACTTTTACAACCCAGGTTCTCTACCTGGGCAGCAGTATCTTGCCACAATGCAGCAGCCCAGATGGGTTTGCCTCTGTGCTGCCAGTTGCTCTGCTTCCATTGCTGCAGCCGCAGGGCATTTGCTACCATCCATAAGTCAGTATGGAGATAAAGTACCAGCCATTTTTCTCATCCAGCAATATCTAAAGCCAGCTGGATGGCTTTTACCGCTGCAAACTGACTCGATTCACCTTCTCCTTTGGCAGTTTATGCGACTTGTCGTATTGGACTCCATAGAGCAGCCTTCCACCTGCCATCTTGTGGGAAAGCATCGGAGGACCCATCAGTGAACAGGGCATATTGCTTCTCATTTCCTGGCAGTTTATTACAGTGGGGCCTCTTCAGCACACGCCCCCTCCTCCTCTGGCGATATTCCAAAATCTTTGCCTTCTGGCCAGTCCATGATCACTTCCAAGATTCCTGGGCAACTGCGGTTTCCTATTTGATCCCGTTATGTGATCAGCATGACCCACTTACTCCACGTAGCATCAGCTGCATGATGTGTACAGGGGACTCTCCCTTTGAACATCCTGCCCAGCACCAGCAGTTGGGGTGCTAGGAGCTGTGCTTCAGTACCAACCACTTCCAAAGCAGCTCGAACCCCTTCATATGCACATTTTTTACATCTTGCCCTGCCCGGACTGGCCTAAGGGCAGACTGCATGAACTATCTCCTGTTTAATTTGTTCAAAGGCTTGTCGTTGCTCAGGGCACCATTTAAAATTATTTTTCTTCTGGGTCAGTTGGTAGACCGGGCTCATGACCAGGCTGCAATTTGGAATATGCATTCTCTGAAAACACAACACCCAAGAAATCTTGTGTTTCCTTTTTGCTAGTTGGTGGAGACATAGCTGTTATTTTGTTGATCGCATCCATTGGAATTTGATGACGTCCATCTTGCCATTTTATTCCTAAAACCTGGATCTCCTGCACAGGTCCCTTGACCTTACCTTGTTTTATGGCAAAACCGGCCTTCAGAAGGATTTGGACTATTTTCTTCCCTTTCTCAAAACCAGCTTCTGCTGTATTGCCCCATGCAGTAATGTCATCAGTGTATTGCAGGTGTTCCAGAGCCTTACCCTGTTCCAGTGCAGTCTGGATCAGTCCATGGCAAATGGTAGGGTTGCATTTGCACCCCTGGGGCAGTCAATTCCAGGTGTACTGGACACCCCTCCAAGTGAAAGCAAACTGTGGCCTGCGCTCCACTGCCAAAGGGACTGAGAAAAAAAAAAAAACATTAGCGGTATCAGTTGTGGCACAGCACTTGGCTGCCTTTAACTCCAGTTCGTATTGAAGTTCTAGCATGTCCGGCACTCAGTGGTGGTGTAACTTCATTCAGGCCATGATAGTCTACTGTCAATCTCCACTCTCCGTTAGACTTTTGCGCTGGCCATATGGGACTGTTAAAGGGTGAGCGAGTCTCGCTGATCACCCCTTGGTTCTCCAGTCAACAAGTCAGCTCATGGATGGGAATCGGGGAGTGTCGGTTGGTGCGATATTGCTGCCAGTGCACTGCGGTGGTAGCAACTGGCATCTGTGGTTCTTCAACCCTCTGCAACCCCACAACAGAAGGGTCCTTCGAGAGACCAGGCAAGGTAGACAGCTGCTTAATTTCCTCTGCCTCCAAGGCAGCCATACCAAAAGCTTACCGATACCCTTTTGGGTCTTTGAAATACCTTCTCCTGAGGTAGCCTATGCCAAGGACACATGGAACCTCAGGGCCAGTCACAATGGGGGCCTTTTGCCACTCATTCACCGTTAGGCTCGCTTTGGCCTCCAATACAGCTAGCTGTCAGGATCCCCCTGTCACTCCAGAAATCCAGATGGGTTCTGTCCCTGTATGGCTTGATGCCATTGGGGTACACTGTGCACCATTGTCCATTAGAGCTTTATACTCCTGTGGGTCTGATGTGCCAGGCCATGGAGGTGCCCACCATCCTAGACATTTGCCCATACTATCCCACACACCCTACCACTCGTAACTATCCAGCTTTGGGGTAGATCTCCAGATGATATTCTTAAGTAGCTGTTTAATCCTGAATAAGACCTGTCTTGCATTCAGGAGACATAGCAATAGGACCATGCTGGTTAGAACATCCCTCGAAAAGGTAAAAACTATAATTATTAATAATTCCCAATAGATGGCTCCCAAAGTACAGAGGTGACAGCAGCGTTGAGCACAAATACGACACTGATCTCATGACCAATAATTTTGTCATAGCATAAGCCTGTATTACACAGTACAGCAAAGCGATAACCTTAATCCAGCTGCCAGAGATGATAACCAGAACCACAGGGAGTCCATAGAGCAGGTGAGGTGTTACACAGCACAACTCTGAGAACGAGGACAACAACTCTGACAGCAAGTCAACATTGTGACCAGCAATTCCTAAGCTAATATAATGAATGCTTATCATAAATTCATTTTAACATGCTCTGGTCAGATCTGTCATTATCCCAACACTTCAAGCCCCACATTGGGTGCCAAAAAGGACTACTGTGGTTTAACCCAGCAGGCAACTAAGCACCACACAGCTGCTTGCTCACTCCTCCCCACCTCCCTCAGTGGGATGGGGGAGACAAACGGGGGGGGGAAAAAAAAAAAATAAAATATGTAAAACCCATGCGTTGAGATAAAGACAGTTTAATGAAACAGCAGAGGAAAATAATACTAATACTACTACTAATAGTAAGAGAATATACAGAGTATACAAAACAAGTGATGCACAATGCAATTGCTCACCACCCGCTGACCGATGCTCAGCTTGTCCCTGAGCAGCAATCACCATCTCCCAGCCAACTCCCCCCAGTGAACATGACATCATATGAACATCATATGGTCTGGAATAGCCCTTGAGCCAGTTGGGGTCAGCTGTCCTGGCTGTGCCCCCTCCCAGCTTCTTGTGCACCTGGCAGAGCAGGGGAAGCTCTGGGACTGAAAAGTCCTTGAGTAGTCTAGGCACTACTTGGCAACAACTGAAACATCAGGGTGTTATCAACATTCTTCTCATACTAACTCCAAACACAGTGCTATGCCAGCTACTAGGAAGAAAATTAACTCTCTCCCAGCCACACCCAGGACAGATTTAATTGTCCATCTTTCCGTAAGCTTGTTACTTTCACTTTTGCATTTTCTACAAGGCTTCTGCATTTTTAACACCTATGCAAATACAAAAAGCTGTTTATACTGCATTGATACTTCTTTAATTGGGCTACTGGCAAGCAGTGATGTTTGAGTATACTGCAACTCAACAAAAAACTGCCCATCATCAGAATACATGAGTGCATAAAACTGTCTTTTTGGCTTACCAAAGAGAGCAGAAAAACTACTTGCCTCCAAGCTGTCCCAGCTTAATTTGACGTAGGCCAAAATACGTCCATTCTTCCCATATGCTGAAGCAACAGGGTCCCCAAATTTCAGTTCAACGTAGGAATCAAAAGGCTAAATTGCAAGTTTATTCGCTGCTACTGCTGTTGCTGACTGATTTGTCTTTGTGTTCTACACCACCTCCCACTCTGACAGCCTGACCTCACCCTCTCATGGCAAGGCGCTCTCTGCCTTGCATTCCTCAGGACGCTCCCCATGCTTGCTTGTGACTGCTCTCGCAGTTGCAAAATCATCCCATGCCCATAGCTTCCTGCTCTGCATATCTTTCCAAAACCCTTCTATTTTCCTAACTAAGCAACCGTACTTCTTCCTTCCTGGTTAAAGCCCCATCTGCAACACCAACCACTGTGGGCAGTCCAAATCTCACCTTCAGTTACCTCTCAGATTCCTCTCCACAGTTGAATCTTGAAGACAAACCAAAACCAAAGCTGCCTTCTGCCTTCTTCCTTCCGCAGCTACAGATTTTGAATGACTGCTTATCTCCCTCAAACATCCACTATCTCATTGTTGTATCTTTTTGCCATCTTTTATTCTAAATGCAAAAGCTTTGTAATAAAATTCACATTTGTTCCGTAATTACACAAAGCCTTGTATAATATAACTGAAAAAATGGAGGCACTGCCTCTAAAAAAGCAGGCCTAAAGTTTAAACTTGGAGAGTGATTAGTCTTAGGCTATTTTTTTTTTTTTTAAAGTGCTTATCCATTGGCATTTTTCACTTTGCATTCTACTCCTTTTGGAAAAACAAGGGATAGGAACCGTCCTACTAAAACTGAATAATTATTTCTCGAGTGCTGTATTGTATCTCAGACAAGGAAGTGTACTAGAAACTTAAAACGAAACCAAGGGTGAAAAAAGAGAAAGCATGTGATACAGTACAAGGAATATGAGAAAGTACTGGGCTTTACAACCTGTTTTTTCATATATATTAAAGTACAAAAAGAACATATGGTTTTCTATGTGAACAGGACCATAACTGCTCACAAACTATTCACAGGAGATTTTCCACTATTGTTTTAATAAGAGGCCAAATAACCAGCCCTAAAAGAATGAAGAACTGATGAAGCACCAATAATTACTGGTTTTCACTCTTTTTCACCTGACATGGAAGTCACGGTTGTTTAATGTATTTCTGTCAACAACTTCATAGCTCTGGTTAATGCTTTTCAGCAAAGTATATAAATTCAGCAAAATATATTTATCCCCACCAAAAACTATTCCACCATTTTTTGTGAAATCTCATTTTAACTGAGACGCCAGGGAGGCCACTGAAAAACCCAGGTAAGAAAAGGCAAAACCCACAAATACACGATCTCACTGAACACAGAAAAAAGCTACCCAGCCAGGAGATGCACCTAACAGGCCCTTCAGGTCTTTCAAAATCAAGGGCACAACCTACATGAAAGAGGAAGGGAAGAAATTCTTTCACTTGTTTAAAAAGACAACCCCCAAGTATTCTTTGAAAGTAAGTAGTGTTTACAGCCATATCAGTGGTAATCTCTGATTGGATAAAAGTTGTACTTTTAAAAATCTGTGCTGGGAACACTAGCAATAGCTCAGAGAAAGCAATGCCACACAACACAGGAATAAACTACAAAATGTAAAAACATCTTTGACAAAATGGAGCATCTTGAAAAGCACTGTAGAAGTAACAACAGAAAAAAAAACCCAACAAAGCAGAAAAGAAAGTCACACATAAAACCTCACAATGGTCTTTTAGATGGCCACAGCAAAACCAAAACACAGAGTAGTTTCACTTTCTTGGGAAAGAAGCAATGCAGAAGAACTGAACTTTTACCTTCTCCCTTTCCTTCAAATATCAGGGCTATCAAAAAAGCATCAGCAGAAACGAACAGAATAAGGTGCTACTAATGGCCTAAGAAAATTACGACTCATTTCAAACTGCAAGAAACAAAACTTATTTAACTCGGCAGCCTCTGAAAAACCTCAGCAAGTCTTTGGCAGAATTTGGATTTCTAATTAGTAGACAGGTTCATCATGTCTAAACACTGTCATTGACCGCCACTGCCTTCACTGGAGACCTTGTCCTCCAGCACCGCTAGCAGAACAGTTCACAGCTGGAACCGGCTTGAGAGCTGAATGGATGACAACTGAAGCTCTCTCTTCAGAGCCGAACTCCGGGAGCCTGCCTAGCTCTACAGGTAGACTTGCTGACGCCAAGACAGAAGATGGGAGAGCAGATGGACACATGTGGGAGGACTCACGTATTTCAAATAACGTGCTGAAGATGCTAGCCAGTACTTGGCCTGACAGCTTCTTCGGCTTCTTTGCATGCTGTCAGGTTGCCTGGCTATCAGACGCCTCACGCCTTGGCCAACAAACTACCAGCACCGCGCGGGAACGGGGGCCAGCGCACGAGGGCTGGGGCTCCCAGCGCTGCGGGCAGGGGTGAGGAGGGCACCGGCCGCCCCTC